GTTTAGGCAGATGCCTTGCGTTAACCTCATTATTCGTATTAGGATAATCGTTGTCTAACCATAATCTTTCCCGCTTCGCAAGTATTTCAGCAGAAAATTGGCGTTGGGATGTATTCTATTCAAGCAGTTGTATCTCTGGCAATGAATGTGATGTTACGGTGTGCTTCACTGTTGTAACATATGTCGTGTGGAATTTGATTTGTTGGTTATCCGACCAACTAACTAATTAATTAACTGATTTGCTAAGTAAGATGCTGAGTAACTGATATGGGCAGTCAGTAGATTCAACTGTCCAAAAAACATTTCTTTGGTATCTAACCCAAAGAATAACCACAAAAAATCCTCACTGACGTGACTAGAATTTTAAATTATATTTCCAGACATTATGTTACGTTGAGTGCGCATGTGAGTATTTGTAACTAATTTATAATTTACTTTAATTGAAAACATGAACGATATATTTTAAAAAAATGTGATTTATAATTTACTTTAATTGAAAACATAAACTATATATTTAAAAAAAATATTCTACTGAAACATTTCTGACTTTGAGTGCAACTTGTATTTTGTCACATAACTGACTGAAACATTTATAAAGCTGTCTATGACTTATAATAAGCTCTGTAACCAAGCAACGCAGGTAAGTCCCCCCCTTGAGGACGTGAAATCCCCTTCTGACTCCTGGAAACACCAGCACTACATGCCCAAAAGAGCAGCGGAACACGATGTGTGGGATCGATACCCATGTTGACGAGGGCCTGTCGAACGCTTGGTATTCCGAGCTTGCCCCAGTGAGCTACGTGTTATCTTCAGAGGTCATCTTGCTGCTGCGCCCTGACCCCATCTTCAGTTTCTGCGTGAAAAGTTTCATCACCGACCCCCAAGCTGAGTTGACTGCAGTGTAGCCCGTTGCTGTTCAAACGGTGAGAATTCAGCCCTTTTTTGAAAAGATTATAGTCGCTCAGCTGGCCAGTTGTCTCCTCTTATTTTTGATTCACCTACATAAACACTACATGATTATGAAGATATCCGTCTTCTAGGTTGTTGCGCTGTGTAGTCTGGTCGATGTTTACCAACGTTTCAGAGGTCATACTGCCTCCATCATCAGGGCGATGAGAATGAAGATTTCTGTCTTCTGGATTGTTGCGCTGTGTAGTCTGGTCGATGTTTACCAACGTTTCAGAGGTCATACTGCCTCCATCATCAGGGCGATGAGAATGAAGATTTCTGTCTTCTGGATTGTTGCGCTGTGTAGTCTGGTCGATGTTTACCAACGTTTCAGAGGTCATACTGCCTCCGTCATCAGTCTTACACTACATGATTAGATTACGCCTAATATATCATACTTGAGGAATGTTATACACCAGAAACATGTATTCAGTCCACCATAAGAAATTAGCAGAAAGGACACAGTTTTGTCCTTTTTTCAATCGTGGCTGCCTTTAATAGATTCTCTTATATGGGAGTATCTTCGTTGAAAGACAGTTTATATTATTCACAAATATAAATGTCTTTGACTTCGTGAAGGTTGGTGTGTAATTGTTAAACATACTAAAAATAATAACTAGGAACGCCATGCGAAAGATCTCGTTGAACATAGGGACTTTATTTCCGTAAAGTTGCTTACGCAAAATATGACAAAAGTATCTTCGCCCGGTGACAGGGCAGAATATTTCTCTTACCCAAGAACTACGCCGTTGAATTGCAGACACAATATAAACTAGGGCACCAGATGGAGGTTAAGTCGTCTGTTCTACGTCTTAGTAACTTCATTTGTCTCCAGTACAATACCCACTGGTTAAGAGGCTGGAGGACCGTAGAGGTTAGGTTTCGGGGGGAAAAGTGCCTGCTCTGCTGGGTATCGATTCCCGGTCATCCAGCTCGTAGGCAGTCACTACACCGACTCTACGGAATTATTCTAGTTCCCACCAAACCTCCTCTTTAAACTGGTTAAGAGGCTGGAAAGACGGCTTGAACATAATTCTGACGACTCATTTACTAATACATACATTATAAAATCCTTTAATACTGTAATATCGCTCATACACATGAAAAATGTTGCTTCTTCATAACGTAGTTAAGCGTATTGCATTACAATAATACAGTTAAAATGGCGCAACATCAGTTATTAGATGCGTAGTTCGTTATTCAATTGTATGTTTGCATATAAAACATGGCGGACTCCCCAGGGACAATAACTTTAGCATTGCTAGCGGTTACTACATCAGAACAAGACTCCAGGCAGCTGATAAACTATTTATGAGTAACAAACAATTTGGTTTATTCAGTTTAGTCCTCAGGGGAACAACATTTGGGCTAATTTCCAACAAGTTTTCCCAGAGCATTATTTACAATTCTCGAAACATAGACCGATCCGCATCTATGGAGTCCATTGACTGGTGGTACGACGTAAGTCAGAAGCTGTGCGTTGCTTTTAAACTTTGTATCTTGACTTCAGTACATCTGAATGCTTGTTGCATTCTGCTGCACAAAGTTCTTCCCGATCGACCACACATTTCCCTCCACGTGGCGTCCCATATGAAAAATTAAGGCCTCTACGTTCTATTTTATTTCTTCATTTTCGGTTTATGTGTATTCCTACTTTTGTTTCGCTAGCTCTCTGCATTATTCCATGTCGTCTGTGTGCCGCTACACTGACTCACCACTTCAGTACTAAATTACTCCCAGAAGTCTCCTTGGGCTAACAAAGTCTTCCACTAGAGGCGCTCGAGTGAAACCAACCCACACAACTCCATGATTTGCATCAGGACCCGACGTTTATTTGTTTGTGAGAAATAACCACTCATACCGCGAGATGGCAGGTCGATTGCAATGAATTAACTGTGTACGTGGAGCTTATTTTTTCCTCTGCTAGATGTCGTCTTATACAAGAAGAGATTTTTACTCGGAACATCACTTCTTGCAGCAACTTGTGGCAATGGTTTATTATCTCCGGAAAGGAATGTCTTCTTTCGCTCTGTTCATCTTTTATTTTTTCAACCAAGTGTCTTTCAGCGCCCCTGAATGTCTTGCACGTATATGCAATTCTAGTTTGTACAGCACCATACAAAATGTTCCAACTTGAACTACGACTGAACAGATACGGTGTTTAGCATCGTGCATTTTAAAAGACGGCCATCTTCGGACTCACCGCCGTGAAAACCTGAAATTCTACATAATAAATTTTTATTCTCATGATTGTTTTGTACATTATATAAAGTATTTAGTTCCTTCACAGAGGCAAACCTATATTTTTTTTAAAAAAAATATTAAACAGAAGGAATTAAACTAAACTGCATGGCGAGAACACAGATACTCCATCTACTGGTAAGGTTACACAAGTTGGAAAAGGGAGGTTCTCTAGAGTCACGTGTTACGGTTTCTCCAAGCGTGAATTTTGAATTTGTTACCGGCGTGTTTATCAACCTTTTTTTCAGAAAAGAAAAAAATACTGTCTAATGGCGGACTGACTAATTTTAAAACATTTCGCTATTACAAAAACCTAACCTAACCTTATACGTCATTTTATGAAAAATGGAGTCCATCTTGAAAAAAATAGACTTTTGGACGACATTCGTTGAAAAATCTTTACTGTATTTGGACACTAATCGATTTTTTAAATGAACGTGAGTCAGACAAGTGTTGATGTTTCGTAAGGAATAATGGGATATTTACGATACCTATAAGTTACGGTGTAAGATTGTTTTCCACCTATGACAGACGGGTTTTAGTGTTTAAGAAAGCCTTTTACTTTCCCCTCACAGATTATGTTTTACTAATAAAATAATTTGCGGAATTAAGTGACACATAACAAGCAAGAATTTAAAAGACAAATAAATTTTGCTGTGATTAACTTTTTGACTGGTCTGAATGAAGATTTTCCTCATATTTTTTCTAGGTTTTAATATGTCATGTTGCCCCCATTTTTTTGCAGTTCACTGACCATCCACTTGAATTAAGTCTCACTAATTGTTACCTTGTTATTATTAACTTCTAGGTTTTTTAAAAATTTACATGTGATATTAGAGACCACTGAGTATCAATGAACACTTCTCTGACCTTTGAATATTAAGAGTTATTTTAAATTATAAATTACATATATTTGTAATTACCTATTAAGAGTTAATTTTTTGTATGTGAAGATGCACACGCCCGGAAGCGAAACAGCTTCCACCAGCCTTGCACCAGAGCAGTGTGATGAAGAATTGACGTCAGGGTGGTCCAGATTTCATTATGTACTTGGCGTAGAGTAATAAAACGAGGGATGGAGATATCGCATTTAAAGTTGGAACTTTGTTCACGTTATGCTGTGTTCCTCCGTCTCTTATCGTTAGATACACTGCACTTTCTTTCTTTTGTTGTTCTTGAAGTTCCCTCACACGTTTCTTCTGTAGTGCAGGAAGTGGCTCAGCAGGGGGAGCTCATCTGTCGACACAGTGCGACTGTTGAGGTCAGGTTGTGGTGATGGCCATCACACATTAGTATCTCTTGCTATTAAAATTATACGACGCGGCATCTGGACGATTTAGTTCAATTCAGAGAATGAAATGATATAATAAAAGCGGCAAGTCACTTAAGATATCAAGATATAACATTAGATAATAAGATAGAGGCTGTAAAAATCAACGCAGACCTACAGGATGTGGACACAGGAAGTGTCCTTACCGCTAGACCATAAATATAGTTTTTTAAAAAATGTCAATATCTTTGTAAATGACAGTGGTAGCAGAAACGTATGTTGTTGTGGGACTGACCTTGAATTTTTTTTATCGCAAAAATATAGCAGTGTCTAATTATCCTACGTACAGTAACAGAATCAAATGTGAAAAAAATTGATTTTAAATGCAATAATAAGAAATAGGGAATAAAGATGCCTCTGTCAGGAAAAATGTTGAATGTCTCAGTCTAGCTGATATATATCTTCATGATTTTTGCACCATACGATCACGAAGAATCTGGTATGAACACACGCTAGAACATTTTATTTGAACTCTTTCCAGCTTGAGCGAATCCGCAGATGTAATGGAGTTCCAGGCAAACAATCCATTTTCCAATTTGGGTCGCATAAACGTGGCATACAAAACTCAGAGTCTACCAGCAGTGGAAAAAGGAAGGTAATATACTGAATAGTCTTTGACATACTGGGAATATAAAAATAAGATTATTACACAGCTTGTAACTAAAATTAATATTTTGTCCATAGTCCCGTGTTTAAATGATATAATAGTGTTTTTACCGGCATTAAGAATCATACCATTTTCAAAACATTTTGTACAGAATCAATATCAGACTGGAAATATTACATTAATATCACAATACATTTTTAAATCATCTTCAAACAGGAGGTACAATAGCAGGATTTGAAGTTCTCAGGTTCTTCCTGCCTCCATCATCAGGGCGATGAGTGATGATGATGACGATGGAGGCAGCAAGGACCGCTGAAACGTCGGTAAACTTATACCAGACTACACGGCGCAGCGATCCAGAAGACAGCCATCTTGAAACAAGATTTACTTTGAATTAAGGACAGAATCTTATTATTAAAAGGCTTATACTCCGCGGCAGAGACAGTTCGTAGGGCGGAAATACCGTCTTCTTGCGTTAGTATTTTTCTGAATTGCCGATGTGTTAAATCCTAGCTTAGAAGATTGTGTAACCGACGGCGCAGTCTTAGACCATTGATTGACTGGAAAAAAGGTCTTGGTTGTGGGTCATTTCCTGTTCCTACACAAGTAGGTGATGTCTGGCCAGTTAAGCAATGATTCGTGAAAGAAATAGTGAGAATTGCACGCGTACGGACAGACAAAAGAGACAACGAGCGACCAACAAAAAGAGACAAAACATGTTTTGTAAATGAGTTGCCATAGTGATGTGAGCACGTAAGCGACGACTAGTTCCATTTTTCGAGTGATGTCGCTCGATTCGAGGTCGTGGTATCGGCTCTACGCATGCGCAGGAACGAGCAGTAACACAACCTCAAAGCGGAAATCCTGTGGCTGTTGTAACGTCACTTCGACGTTGCACAACATGGGTTTCTTCAGTTACGTGTATTTTGCTGCGTTACATTGTTATGATCCATGTTACTGTCACCATCCGTTTCTGTTATCGAGTTGTGGTGATGGAAACATTTGACAACAACAGAAGCTTGTTTAGGAAATGCTTTTGTCTTTGGACGAAACACGCCATTTCGCATATCCAGACACTGGAAAATTGGACAGGCATGAATACTTGAACCAAATGACTAGCATTACTTGACATATTTAAGATATTATAGAATTTACTGTTTATTTTCCCGTTCTAAAGGCAGAAACCAAATAACGATATCACATTCCTGTTCCTTGTATCTGAAAGAAAGATAAATGGCCTATTTAAAGTCATGATTACTTATTATTAACTAACTAACTAACTAACCAACTAGATGGCTTACCGAATCCGAAGGTTCATCACCGAATTAACTAAAGCCCTCCACCGGACCCTGTCCTGGGATAACAAAATCCTTATTTTTATTTATTATTAATTTAAAGAAAATTAAGCTAAAACAAAATGGAAGCTTGTGAAGGAAGGTACAGACGAGAGTTGTAAAAAGAAAAGATTCTACCTTGTAGGTCTGGCAGCTTTGCCTCAACTACAGACTTTGTCACGATGTTTTATGCATATTTGCTCCTGTGAAATGCCAAGACAGGAATTCGTATTATGAATACGAATTTTCAAGCAATAAAGGGCAGCGAAGTGTCTTTGATAACGCCATGTCACGGACGGAATGCCAAAACAAGACTGTTCGCAGTTATTCTTTAGCTTGTCAGTCTGGCAGAATGTCGCTTGTGGCTCGCGTTTATGCCAGACTGTACCTAGGATAGGACGGCGTAAAATGAAAAGCGGTCAGAGAAATGATATTACACCTACTGCCCGGATGTATGCGGAATATTATCTTCAGTACACCAGTTAAAATTATAAAATATTTCCTGGAAACAAAATTTATTTCCATTATTTATCCGATATTTAATTATTACAAAGACTGCAAATTACTTACAGTTCAACTGTTTTCTGGGTCACGCAATACGTCATTTTTACGAGAACGCTTAGCAACAAAAAAAAGGTCACGTGAGTTACAAGCAGTTTTAGTGCCTGCGGGAACAAGGCCTTAATCTCTCACAAAACGTTTTTCACTTGGTTAACTTCGGAACACGTAATTCTGACATCATCCCATTACGAAATTAACAAACTGTATGAACAAATGGCTGCTGCTGAGCGTAAAATAATAATACAATAATAATCCCGAACATCAGTGTAAATCTGCATGGCGGATCTACAGAAATTCTAGGCGTGTGGATGATGAAAATTACGAGTTGCTTTTCCGAAGAATTATTACAGTACATGATTTTCACTTTTACTGAAAAGCGAAAAGCTAGGAAATTTTCATTGAGAGAAGGTGAATCATGGGAAGAAGTTACGAAAGGCTTCTACCTTGCAAAGCTTCAGTCTCTGTGGTGAACCGCTAGGTCTCTGAAATTTAAGGTTTCAACGGCTGCGAAAACTTTTTGGTCTTCTGGATCATGTTATTCGAGATGAATACACTTTTTTGTTAATTTTTAAGAAAAATATGAGTACCATAAATAACGTCGTGCAATTTTATCACATAGCTCTGAAGATGGAAGCGATATATTCCTCCGAAACATTGATAAACACATGGAAAACTGCTTGTTGTAATAATCCAAAAGATAAACTAAATTTTTGTGGAGGCATATCCGTCGGTTCTGGAGTTATACCACAATGACTCGGTCGCCAGGGAATTGTTTATGTCAGCTTGGATTAGTGTGAAGTTGAGGTTGGAATTCATGTAGGAGAGTCGAGAAGAATTCTTGAGTTCAAGATATCTGTACAGAATACTTTTTTGCTGAATATTGTTATAGAGCAACGTTTACCAATGTGTGGAACGCATACCACCAGTGGCACGCGGAATGATTTCAATGGGTACACGGTAGGAAATAGATTGCTAAAAATTTCCCCCAGGGCTCTATCTGCAGTTAGGCTAACTCTAATATAATGTAAATTGAACAAATTCAATAATTGTAATTGGTCTTTTTGGGTATTGTTGATTGTCTTGTTATCTGGCGAGTTCGTTTGTAATGTAAGTTGCATACTGCGGCTGTTTGACCGGAGTAGAAGAGAACCACGGATTATTATTTTAATTGACATCCTTAGCAAAATATAATATTGTTGATTCACATACATTTAGTAATTTCACGTTCACGTAGATTCACTCTTTCTAGGCGTTCTTTTAAAGTGAAAAAAACGTTTTGTCGAGGTCATGTCTGTCCATTCGAGACCTAGTTTTAGCACAAAAACGGCTTAACTGACTTGGATGAGAAGTTGTCGAACAGTTTCTCGAAAATCAGATGACTCCAACTAGTACTTAACAGGAAGATCAGAAATGTAATAATGAATTACTTCTACATTTCTGGACGGATCAAAAAATATTCCAGAAAGAAAGTCGAGAAAGCGAATTAAAATACACACATTTTATGCCAAACACTTTTTATATTAGCAACAGTATTCGATACAGGAACCGTTAATATTGTAATTTTTGTAAAAGGCCAACTACTGAATTTTTATCAAATCTAAAACTTCTTGACGATGGTGAAGAGTCAATTTAATAAAAATTTTCTTGGATATTATCCATCGTCTAGTAAAATATAAAACGTAAAACGACGTTTCGGAGATGGGACTCTATCTCCGTCTTCAGGTTCCTACACAGTTGGGCCCACTAAATAGAGCTAATCCCTATCTCCGGACTACGTTTTATATTTACTAGACGATGGATAATATCCAAGAAAATTTTTATTCTACTGAATTTTTCCCGGCTACTTTTACATGCTTGAATTTTGATGTTTCCCGCGTTCGAGTACGGAGTTTCAAATGATTCCAACAGATGGCGGAGCTGTAGTGAACTGTTAAAATGGCGTCTGTGAACTACTCTCGTTACAAACAACGAGCTGTAATTGAATTATTTGTTGCGTAAATCAGCATTCATTGCAGATATTTTTACTCATTTAAATATTCTACATGTTCTTACAATGCTATTTAATATCCATATTCCATATTGAAGACAATACTGGTGCAATGGGGTAAAAGAATTAGGGGTGGCGATTTGAATTCCTTTCCAACTCTTCATGACTTCGTGGTAAAGTCTTCACTTCGGTGATGTGTTGAAAACCATGAAGGAGTATGGTAGGTCTGAAGAAAGGTCTTCAGTGGTTAATGGATAAGAAACATTTTCTTCGTCAATGTCCAAACGTTGCCAAATAACATCTGTTTCAGAAGAACAGCTCATGGAGTTCGCTTCATTTGGCTTCCTGAGAACAACGTTTTAACAAAAGAAACGTCATTTGGCTGAGCATTTGTTCCTTGTAGGATCCTGGAGATAAAAGTATTTCCTGCCCTTTCCCATCTCACACACGTGCGCCGTGGGATTGTGGACGCTGGTTGGCATTCAAACAAAGAAAGCGAAATCGTCTTATTGACGTGAAACTGCATCTTCGTCTCTCGCCAATACTGAACCAGACACCCTGCCTTATAGTATGATCACAAGCAGTTACACGCCTCGCATTTGACAATTCGCTTTTTTTCAATTACGTAAGTAAAGTGGAATTTACAGATTATTATTTTCTCTCCTTGTTTTGGTTTGTACTTATAACTTAATCGTAATGTGGTTTGACCGTTTACGAGTTAAATGTTTCTAATGTAACTGGAAGAGAAATGTCGAAATCTCATAAGGAGTTAAGAAAAGGAAATACTGTCATAGATAATAAGGAATTATTAATTCTTCTACGGATGAGAAACAGAAGTTCGTGTAGAAGTAAATATAAACAAAATTAAATATATGAACATAACGATAACACTATAAGTACGATTATCATAATGTAACGAGGCCTGTGTTTAATAAGGAATCTAAAAATATTTAAGATTTTATCAGAGAACGTAATTCAAGCTCATTGTCAAAAGCAGAACAGAATTTTCTGTCTTCCCATCAGATATCTAAAAACACGAATGTTATAGCGTTCAAAACTACAATTTTAGGCTCACCTGCTGTTGTGTATAATTGTCAAACTTCTCCATAAGTTCCCATAGTCAAGAAATTTCTCGCTTTTTCTGTAACCGAAAAATCAAAGTTTTCATCTCACCAAGCGTGCTACATTCCACGCCCATCCAATTCCCCTTCGTTTAATCATCATAATAATATCTTGTGAAGATTACTGTTGAATCAGTCATTTTGAAAAGGACCTTTTTCAATTTTGGGCAAAAATGGGTTAAGAACGTCTTAGCATTATGCGCACATAGGCACATTTCTCTCCGAAGAGACAGAATCACGCATTGCACCCGATGAAGCAAGGTTCTCACGATCGGTCATCGCTTTTGTAAGGGCCTTGTTTATGGAATATGACCGTTTTCAAGGTGAACTGAGGCGAATGACACCTGGCGGACGTGCGAGCAAACTTCCATTCTAGCCAACTTCGTAAATAAATTTTGAACAGTGCGGTAAATTCAAGTATTGTTGCATCAGCACGCCTTGCAGGACTCCAAAAGCTTACTTATTACCTTCTGCCTGTCGTCTTCGCCTTGGAGAAGACTTCTTCAGTGCGCACTAATGCTATAAGACGACAGACAAGTGGTGAATATTATGTACGTGTCCTTTATGTAACGGTGGCAGCCTTGAAGGAACATCAAAACATAAACTGTCGTAAGATTTGTTTGTTGAGATTATTGGTCTGTAGTTAAAACTCTAAAATATTGTATATAATATATGCATAAGTAATAGAATTAGACGGTGGTTAATTTCAATATGGAAACAGAGATTAGAATGCATTTGATTTGTTAAAGTCTTGAATGCAACGAACATGTGGTTTGGATGGGACAGACAAGAATTACACACAGAATTTTGGCAAGGGAACTTCTTTGGGAGAGAGTGTTTGGAAGACTGTGTAAGAGATAATAAGATAACATTGAGATGGAGCTAGGGGAATTTGGCTGTTATGTTGGTAGGTGGATGGAACTGTCGAAGTTTCGTTCCAATTGGTGGGCTTTGGTGTTAGTAGCGTTCAACATTCGTCTTATGATGACACCACATTAGTTCGCTTTTACATGAATCTGTAAATCTCGTGTTATTTACCTCACAGTTTAGTGACATGTAATGTTATG